TTCAACGATAACAGTTGCATTCATTATTTCTCATTATCGAAAGAAAGAGTTACAACATTGTGCTCGAGTGACCTGGCAACGGACCAATCCTGGCGGGGCGGGGTTGTATACAAGAGTTTATTTGCCTTATGTATGAGTTGCGTTATGGTAAGCCAGCTCCGTCACCGCCTTATGCTAGAGGAAGGTCCTCTTAAGAGCTACCTGTGCGCTACCTTGTTGTGAGTCAGAGGGGGCAATTCCCCCCATCACCCCCCCCCACGGCAAGGTCTCTGACTAGGCCGCCTAGTTGGTGGCGCACGCAAACTGTTTCTTGAATCATGATGTAGCCACTGCGATTGAGATAGGAGAAAACTCTTGTATCTGGTGGCAACCCGTTCTCGCAAATTTAATAAGTCAATATTGACTTATTAAATATGTGCATAAGTGACATACTTAACATAATAGTTTCCCTTGAAAAGCTTCATAGAAAACACCGACCTTACCTAACCTACTTAGTATGTTAAGATAAGCATCTTATTGCCTCGTAATTACAATTATTACCTAACCTATACCTATAATAGATTAAGTAACAATTGTAATTACGAAGCTATAAGATGCTTATTTTAACATACTAAGTAGGTTAGGTAAGGTCGGTGTTTTCTATGAAGCTTTTCAAGGGAAACTATTATGTTTAGTATGTCACCCATGCACGCAACTAATAAGTCAATATTGACTTATTAAATTTGCGAGAACGGGTTGCTGGTGTAGCTGGTGCTTGATGTCTCTAACCTCTATGGAGGCTCCACCGTGAGCAAGAGTGGCCGCCGTGGGTATGGCGCTACCCTATTTGACCGGGTATTTGATGGGGGGGGGGGGGGGGGGGTATTGGGTTTTTGCGACAAACCGGTTTGGGAAAGATTATTCTCATGAAATTTACTTATACTCCATAAGGACTTAGGAACGACGCCCACTTGGCTCCAGACGGTAGCCTCAGGTCATTACGGCGGGGGGGGGGGGGGGGGGGGCACACCCCTTCCTTTCATTGTTAATTGACGCCCAAAAATAACACCAATTTACTTCCACACAACCCAATACCCCTTTACTCTTATCCCAGCGTATTAACATTTTGCTCCCTTAGCCCATTGTACATTAATGTCCACTTAGGTTACTCCCACCTCACTCAACCCCATTACCTAGCGCATACCTGGAGCATTCCTGGAGCATACCTGAAGCATACCTTAATAGGATCTCGGGGGTTCTTACCCCCCAAGCCCGGCCCGAGACCAGGCTCGACTTGTAATAACTTGGTCCAACAGACTGTTGCTTGGAGCGGCCCGCAACAGCCTTTTGGACCAAGTTATCAAATGTAGCTTGACACAGTTTCAAATGTAGATCTGATAGACCTCAATAAACTCAGGAATCTGTACACCAGTTGACTGACGGTCGAGAGGCGGGACCAGAGAGCCGAAGCTCAACCCCCGCAAGCACGACCAGGCGAGTACAAGTTGCAGACAACGACTCTTAGGTCGCGAGGTTTAATTTATATCTCTCCCTGTCGGGGAGGCAATCTTAAGTGTCATGAACGGATCATCGTACGGAGATAAGAGTTAACTGATGTAATTAAATGTCAACAAGGAAGTGATGGGGCGAGAATAGACTTACGTAATGGGGGGGGGGAAGGGGGCTGTAAGGCAGCCACAGGTCCACGCTCCCTCACTAGGTTCATGGTCACAATTGCTTTTCACCTTTGTAAATACACATTAATGCCATTGTGAGGAAAAACAACACACCTCAACACTGTTTATGGAGACAGACGTAGATCTGTGTATTTTTGTATGTAGGTTAGATCAGCAATTTCAAAGCCCTACAATCACCTTCTGTGGTTGATTGTTCAATAAATCCGTCAACTATATGTTTAACAGATCTCTCACCCTGTCCATGGAGGACAGAAGAAATATGCTGGTTAGCACTGTAAATGTCTGGCCACGTCTGTGGTAGAAAATAATAATAATAAAACTAGGTTCACACATCAGATACTCCTCTAAAAGGCTACACATCTGGCGCCCGTTCCGTCACCTGGGTCACACACCCGACACAAGACCTCACTACACACCTGGCGCCCGTTCCGTCACCTGGGTCACACACCCGACACAAGACCTCACTACACACCTGGCGCCCGTTCCGTCACCTGGGTCACACACCCGACACAAGACCTCACTACACACCTGGCGCCCGTTCCGTCACCTGGGTCACACACCCGACACAAGACCTCACTACACACCTGGCGCCCGGTCCGTCACCTGGGTCACACACCCGACACAAGACCTCACTACACACCTGGCGCCCGTTCCGTCACCTGGGTCACACACCCGACACAAGGCCTCGCTACACACCTGGCGCCCGGTCCGTCACCTGGGTCACACACCCGACACAAGGCCTCGCTACACACCTGTGGAGAGAAGAAAAAAGTCATATTAAGAGCTTGTATGCACTTACAGGTTTCTAATTACTTCAGTAGCGTCAGAAGCATTATCAAAACTACATATAACGATCATCTACGTTACTACTCCCCTGCGAGTATACCTGAGCATACCTGAAGAGGGTTTCGTGAGATATACTGCCCTAGCTCGGCCTGAGGCCAGGCACGACAATTATTGTCCCAACAGATCCAGGTGTGTGGATCTGTTGGGACAATAATTAGCCTCCAGTGTTTTCAAAGCTATAATTAATGGTTATCTTGAGATGATTTCGGGGCTTAGCGTCCCCGCGGCCCGGTCCTCTACTAGGCCTCCTTTTTGCTACACACCGCCAGGAAGCAGCCTGATGCAGTTGTCTAACTAACAGGTACCTATTTACTACTAGGTAAAGGGGGCATCAGGGTGAAAGAAACATTTTGCCCATTTGTCTCCGTTTCCACCGGGAATCGAACCCGGAACCTCAGGACTACGAATCCGAAGTCTTGTCCACCCAGCTGTCAAGCGCTGGACACAATTCTTGGCCCGATAATACTACCTTGAGGTGTTTCCGGGGCTTAGCGTCCCCGCGGCCCGGTCGTCGACCAGGCCTCCTTGTTGCTGGACTGGTCAACCAGGCTGTTGGACGTGGCTGCTCACAGCCTGACGTATGAGTCACAGTCTGGTTGATCACGTAACCTTTGGAGGTGTTTATCCAGTTCTCTCTTGAACACTGTGAGGGGTCGGCCAGTTATGTCCCTTATGTGTAGTGGAAGCGTGTTGAACAGTCTCGGGCCTCTGATGTTGATAGTTCTCTCTTGAACACTGTGAGGGGTCGGCCAGTTATGTCCCTTATGTGTAGTGGAAGCGTGTTGAACAGTCTCGAGCCTCTGATGTTGATAGTTCTCTCTTGAACACTGTGAGGGGTCGACCAGTTATGTCCCTTATGTGTAGTGGAAGCGTGTTGAACAGTCTCAGGCCTCTGATGTTGATAGTTCTCTCTTGAACACTGTGAGGGGTCGGCCAGTTATGTCCCTTATGTGTAGTGGAAGCGTGTTGAACAGTCTCGGGCCTCTGATGTTGATAGTTCTCTCTTGAACACTGTGAGCGGTAGGCCAGTTATGCCCCTTATGTGTAGTGGAAGCGTGTTGAACAGTCTCGGGCCTCTGATGTTGATAGTTCTCTCTTGAACACTGTGAGGGGTCGGCCAGTTATGTCCCTTATGTGTAGTGGAAGCGTGTTGAACAGTCTCGGGCCTCTGATGTTGATAGTTCTCTCTTGAACACTGTGAGGGGTCGGCCAGTTATGTCCCTTATGTGTAGTGGAAGCGTGTTGAACAGTCTCGGGCCTCTGATGTTGATAGTTCTCTCTTGAACACTGTGAGGAGTCGGCCAGTTATGCCCCTTATGTGTAGTGGAAGCGTGTTGAACAGTCTCGGGCCTCTGATGTTGATAGTTCTCTCTTGAACACTGTGAGGGGTCGGCCAGTTATGCCCCTTATGTCTAGTGGAAGCGTGTTGAACAGTCTCGGGCCTCTGATGTTGATAGTTCTCTCAGAGTACCTGTTGCACCTCTGCTCTTCAACGGGGGTATTCTGCACATCCTGCCATGTCTCCTGATCTCATGTGGTGTTATTTCTGTGTGCAGGTTTGGGACCAGCCCCTCTAATATTTTCCACGTGTAAATTATTATGTATCTTTCCCGCCTGCGCTCAAGAGAATACAGATTTAGGCTCTTTAGTCGGTCCCAATAGTTTAGATGTTTTACTGAGTGGATTCTAGCAGTAAAGGATCTCTGCACGCTCTCCAGGTCAGCAATTTCTCCAGCTTTGAAAGGGGCTGTCATTGTGCAGCAGTACTCCACTCTAGAGAGCACTAGCGTCTTGAAGAGTATCATCATCGGTATAGCATCTCTAGTGTGAAAAGTTCTTGATATCCAACCTGTCATTTTTCTTGCAGTTGTGACGGCTACTTTATTGTGTTCTTTAAAGGTAAGGTCGTCCGACATGAGTACACCCAGATCCTTTACATTTGGATTCATTCAATCGTACATGCAATCATTGAATTCATACATTCAATCAGCAGTGTAAAAAACGCTGGCCAACACCAAGTCATTTATTACACACAGTAATCATTAGCAGACGACCAAACCATTGTTAAACTGCGCTGTTACTACACTGCCTCAACTGTTACTACACTGCCTCAACTGTTACTACACTGCCTCAACAATTAGGAAGCAGCATTAAATACTAACAAATTGCGTCAACTATTACCAAACTGCGTCACTTGCCACCCGGGGCTAAGTCAACACCGGCCAGGTTACCTGGAGCAGTATTTACACCTGGCAAACACTAGAGCACTTGTGTGTTCCAGGAGGGGGGGGGGGTGTTGTAGCCTCCACCCCTGACGCAGCCTCCACCGCTGACGCAGCCCCTCACCCCTGACGCAGCCTCCACCCTGACGCAGCCTCCACCCCTGACGCAGCCCCTCACCCCTGACGCAGCCTCCACCCCGGACGCAGCCTCTACCCCTGACGCAGCCTCCACCCCTGACGCAGCCTCCACCCCCTGATGCAGCCTCCACCCCTGACGCAGCCTCCACCACTGACGCAGCCCCTCACCCCTGACGCAGCCTCCACCCTGACGCAGTCTTCACCCCTGACGCAGTCTTCACCCCTGACGCAGTCTTCACCCCTGACGCAGCCTTCACCCCTGACGCAGCCTCCACCCCTGACGCAGCCTCCACCCCCTGACGCAGCCTCCACCCCTGACGCAGCCTCCACCCCTGACGCAGCCTTCATCCCTGACGCAGCCTCCACCCCTGACGCAGCCTTCACCCTGACGCAGCCTCCACCCCGGACGCAGCCTCCACCCCTGTCGCAGCCTCCATCCCTGACGCAGCCTCCACCCCTGACGCAGCCTCCACCCTGACGCAGCCTCCACCCTGACGCAGCCTTCACCCCTGACGCAGCCTCCACCCTGACGCAGCCTCCACCCCTGACGCAGCCCCCACCCTGACGCAGCCTCCACCCCGGACGCAGCCTCCACCCCGGACGCAGCCTCCACCCCGGACGCAGCCTCCACCCCGGACGCAGCCTCCACCCCGGACGCAGCCTCCACCCCTGACGCAGCCTTTACCCCTGACGCAGCCTCAGCCCCTGACGCAGCCTCCACCCCTGACGCAGCCTTCACCCCTGACGCAGCCTTCACCCCTGACGCAGCCTCCACCCCTGACGCAGTCTTCACCATGACGCAGCGTCCACCCTGACGCAGCCTCCACCCTGACGCAGCCTCCACTCATGACGCAGCCTCCATCCTGACGCAGCCTCCATCCAGACGCAGCCTCCACCCCTGACGCAGCCTCCACCCTGACGCAGCCTCCACCCTGACGTAGCCTCCACCCTGACGCAGCCTCCACCCTGACGCAGCCTCCACCCTGACGCAGCCTTCACCCCTGACGCAGCCTTCACCTCTGACGCAGCCTCCACCCTGACGCAGCCTCCACCCTGACGCAGCCTCCACCCATGACGCAGCCTCCACCCATGACGCAGCCTCCACCCATGACGCAGCCTCCACCCCGGACGCAGCCTCCACCCCTGACGCAGCCTCCACCCCTGACGCAGCCTCCACCCCTGACGCAGCCTTCACCCCGGACGCAGCCTCCACCCCTGACGCAGCCTTCACCCTGACGCAGCCTCCACCCCTGACGCAGCCTCCACCCTGACGCAGCCTCCACCCCTGACGCAGCCTCCACCCTGACGCAGCCTCCACCCCTGATGCAGCCTTCACCCCTGACGCAGCCTTCACCCCTGACGCAGCCTCCACCCCGGACGCAGCCTCCACCCCGGACTCAGCCTCCACCCCGGACGCAGCCTCCACCCCGGACGCAGCCTCCACCCCGGACGCAGCCTCCACCCTGACGCATCCTCCACCCCTGACGCAGCCTCCACCCATGATGTAACACCCATGACCTCCCCCCCCCTCCTTAGAGTTCACACCCAAGGAAGCCTTCTCCAAGAGGTCAGCCCAGATGACCTCGGGATTATCTTGTATGTTGATTAAAAAATTCCTGGGTTAGTCTTAGTCAGCATAGTTTCAAGTATGTAATATTTCATGATACTCTTGTCAAACATTGCAAGGGAATTAGACTGCAGATTCTTATGTGTAAACATCCATGGATCTCCCCCTTTTGGCCAGGTCAGAAGTCAGTCACACATGTAATTAATAACTCCTCTCTTGAAGAGTGTATGGTGAATGTCAAACAAGCTTAATTGAAATATTTTTTAAGTGTTTGTGCATGTGTGGCCCGACCCCCCTAGCATTTCTGATCTAGGTAGCAACAGTAAATCTCCCCTCCCCCCTTTTGGGGTATATATATTGGTCCTGTAGAGATTTAGGAAGAGAGTGCGGGACACCAGGATCGAGAGCGGGTCTGTGAAGAACATCTCAGCCAGGGAGAGACAGGTCTTAAGGTAATGTGTGTGATCTCTGACGTTTTGTTCCATGTCCAAATTTCTTAACTTTTTGCCAGTGTTAGAGTAGGATTTATAAGTGGTGATTGACATAATTTTGGTCTCAATAAACTCATGTTAAATTTCCCGTTTGTGTCAATTGTTGAATCCTCTTAGCCTTTTGGATATAGTGGCTGACAACCGTTTCCATAATTAATGACAGTCATAGAAAGTACTCTCCAAGTCAAGCAATGTTTCTTGCCTCGTTGCTTGATATAGTCTCAATGGTCAAAGGCAGATGGTGGCAGCGTATTTCATCCTGTGTTAGCATCTCCTTGTTGGCAGTGTACTTTGTAGTCCCGGTGTAACCATCATATGTCAGCTCATAACAGTGTTACCAAGTGCAACCGATGGGGAAGTGTTACTCAGGATATGTAGTGTTTACATTATTAGTTTAGTATCTATTATAGTGGTATTACATTAGAGCGGTGTTACAGACATTTAGAGTGGTGTTAGAATGACGCAGCCTCCACCCTGACGCAGCCTCCACCCCTGACGCAGCCTCCACCCCTGACGCAGCCTCCACCCCTGACGCAGCCTTCACCCCTGACGCAGCCTCCACCCTGATGCAGCCTCCACCCTGACGCAGCCTCCACCCTGACGCAGCCTCCACCCCTGACGCAGCCTCCACCCCTGACGCAGCCTCCACCCCTGACGCAGCCTCCACCCCTGACGCAGCCTCCACCCATGACGCAGCCTCCACCCCTGACTCAGTCTTCACCCCTGACGCAGCCTCCACCCTGACGCAGCCTTCACCCTAACGCAGCCTCCACCCGACGCAGCCTTCACCCTGACGCAGCCTCCACCCTGACGCAGCCTCCACCCTGACGCAGCCTCCACCCCTGACGCAGCCTCCACCCCTGACGCAGCCTCCACCCCTGACGCAGCCTCCACCCCTGACGCAGCCTTCACCCTGACTCAGCCTCCACCCCTGACGCAGTCTTCACCCCTGACGCAGCCTCCACCCCTGACGCAGCCGCCACCCCTGACGCAGCCTCCACCCCTGACGCAGCCTTCACCCTGACGCAGCCTCCACCCCTGACGCAGTCTTCACCCCTGACGCAGCCTCCACCCCTGACGCAGCCTCCACCCCTGACGCAGCCTCCACCCCTGACACAGCCTCCACCCCTGACGCCGCCTCCACCCTGACGCAGCCTCCACCCCTGACGCAGCCTCCACCCTGACGCAGCCTCCACCCCTGACGCAGCCTCCACCCTGACGCAGCCTCCACCCCTGACGCAGCCTCCACCCTGACGCAGCCTCCACCCCTGATGCAGCCTCCACCCCTGACGCAGCCTCCACCCCTGACGCAGCCTCCACCCCTGACGCAGTCTTCACCCCTGACGCAGCCTCCACCCTGACGCAGCCTCCACCCCGGACGCAGCCTCCACCCCTGACGCAGCCCCGATATGTTTACATATATTTAATCGCGTATGAGCTCCACAGCAACAGGAGGCTGTTGATAACAATGATAACATGTGATTGGGAGGTGTCGATGCTGGCAAACTGTTTAATAAATGTAAACAAAGCCGCCAAAGATTGACAATTGAGATTGAGGTTCCTAAGTAGATGTGTGCATGCTTGCTGTATCCTGGCCACGGACCCGGGGTGGGGGGGGGGCAGTGCATGGAGGATGTTGTTCAAAGTCTTCTGTATTCCTGTTAATATCCCTTATACTGTCTGGGGTTTGGATGTCATTCATAAAATTGTTCTGATCTTTTAAACTTTTAAGAACTGTTATGTTCTTGAATGGGGTGCTAAACATTGCCTCATACTGGCCTTTTAGGATTTCACTAATTTCTTTATCATTCTCTGTGTACGAACCTTTAATTATAAATATAGATCCAATATTAATAGAGTTGTTATTTTGATTTGCAAATGTGACAACATTTTTTATATTATTTATTTCTTGTATAATCCGAAGGCATGACAGGATTACCGCCCCAAGGTAATAGCTGTCATAGCTGGGTACCGTCCCAAGGGTGGGTACCCAGGTAGCTGGGTAGCCCGCACCCAGCTCAGCTGCAAAGGATGACACGAAGCTGTGACTTGTGTTTAAGTCTATATCTGAAATGAGAATGAGGCAAAGCCTTAGTGCTTTGCCTCATTCATGGTAGGACTGCACCTTGAGGTACAGAGCTTTTAACTGCGCTTGGATTTGATTTTATTTGATTGACTGTTACACTCTTATGTTCTGTTCGACAAAAAATTGATTATCCTTACTTTACCACTTATTCCCATTGACCTCATTTTGTGTCCTATCACTCCATGGTCACATTTATCGAATGCCTTTGCGAAGTCTGTGTATACCACAACTGCATTCTGTTTTTCTTCTAATGCCTCAGTGACTTTGTCGTAATGGTCAAGTAGCTGTGAGAGGCACGATCTTCCCGCTCTAAATCCATGTTGGCCTGGGTTGTGAAGGTCATTGGTCTCCGTGAAACTGGTGACCTGACTCCTAATCACTCTCTCAAATACTTTTATTATGTGGGACGTTAGTGCAACTGGTCTATAACTCTTTGCTAATGCTTTGCTCCCTCCCTTGTGTAGAGGAGCTATGTCTGCTACTTTAAGCGCATCTGGTATCTCCCCCGTGTCCAAGCTCTTCCTTCACACTATAATGATTGTCTTGGCACCTTGCATTTCTTTATAAAAATTGAATTCCAGGAGTCTGGCCCCGGGGCTGAGAACATGGACATGTTGTCAATTTCCCTTTCAAAATCTGCCACGCTCGTGTTGATATCAGTTATATTTACACGAGTTTGGATATCACGCATAAAGAAGTTGTCTCTGATCTTCCACTTTCACGGCACTGAAGGGTATTCTAGATGCTGCCGGATTAAAGCCTTATATTAGCAGCAGCTGTCGTGCTAAGACTTCGGAATCTCCTCAGTTCTCTTAAAGCTGTTTATGCTTTGTTTATTCAGTCTTTGACGTGAATTTTTATCCCTGTTCTATTGATCCTGAGCCCCAGTATTCTGCCTACCTCCGCATATTGGATAGGACGGTTGTCAAGGGTAATGGGGTCTGGGATCTCTTTTGCAGTGGGTATTATACGGAGCTTTTGTTTGCTGGAACTTATTTTCCCTTGCATTTCAGAGTTGTTTATGAATTCATTTGCTGCCTTGGTCTTGTCTAGTGAGCAAGTAGGAACACATGACGCGAGGGAAGGAGGCACGGACCTGTAGGCTGCTTCTGGGGGCAAATGGTTGGGCACAGGGACACGAGGAGACTCCATTAGACGGTTGACTAACAAGCAACTCTTCATTCAACCCCATAAGAGGCTCCTTGATGGAGACGACTCCCCCCCATAACACGAACTCTCTACCCCCCCCCAGGAGCCCTCAATCAGCCGGTGTTTGCCCTATGTAAACTGCTCCGGTGTAATCCCCGCCTACGGACTCCCTATCCTGCATTAAACTGAACCCTGTGCAGGATAAAACACATATTGAGATTAGTAAAGATATAATAAAAAATAAAAAAATATATGTAAACGAGAATGGAGTACAACAAACGGAAAAGTTGGTAAAATACAGAGTTAGTAAGAGACACAAAACTGAGAAATATATCAAATTACAGCCTGGGGGAGCTCTACGACCCTTTGGCCCTGGGGGAGCTCTACGACCCTTTGGCCCTGGGGCGAGCTCTACGACCCTTTGACCCTGGGGCGAGCTCTACGACCCTTTGGCCCTGGGGCGAGCTCTACGGCCCTTTGGCCCTGGGGGAAGTCTACGGCCCTGGGGGAGCTCTACGGTCCTCTGGCCCTGGGGGAGCTCTACGGCCCTCTGGCCCTGGGGAAGCTCTACGGCCCCTCTGGCCCTGGGGGAGCTCTACGGCCCTCTGGCCCTGGGGGAGGTCTACGGCCCTGGGGGAGCTCTACGGCCCTCTGGCCCTGGGGGAGCTCTACGGCCCCTCTGGCCCTGGGGGAGCTCTACGGCCCTGGGGGAGCTCTACGGCCCTCTGGCCCTGGGGGAGCTCTACGGCCCCTCTGGCCCTGGGGGAGCTCTACGGCCCTTTGGCCCTGGGGGAGGTCTACAGCCCTGGGGGAGCTCTACGGCCCCTCTGGCCCTGGGGGAGTTCTACGGCCCCTCAGGCCCTGGGGGAGCTCTTCGGCCCTCTGGCCCTGGGGGAGCTCTACGGCCCTCTGGCCCTGGGGGAGCTCTACGGCCCTCTGGCCCTGGGGGAGCTCTACGGCCCTCTGGCCCTGGGGGAGCTCTACGGCCCTCTGGCCCTGGGGGAGCTCTACGGCCCTCTGGCCCTGGGGGAGCTCTACGGCCCTCTGGCCCTGGGGGAGCTCTACGGCCCTCTGGCCCTGGGGGAGCTCTACGGCCCTCTGGCCCTGGGGGAGCTCTACGGCCCTCTGGCCCTGGGGGAGCTCTACGGCCCTCTGGCCCTGGGGAGCTCTACGGCCCTCTGGCCCTGGGGGAGCTCTACGGCCCTCTGGCCCTGGGGGAGCTCTACGGCCCTCTGGCCCTGGGGGAGCTCTACGGCCCTCTGGCCCTGGGGGGAGCTCTACGGCCCTCTGGCCCTGGGGGAGCTCTACGGCCCTCTGGCCCTGGGGAGCTCTACGGCCCTCTGGCCCTGGGGGAGCTCTACGGCCCTCTGGCCCTGGGGGAGCTCTACGGCCCTCTGGCCCTGGGGAACTCTACGGCCCTCTGGCCCTGAGTAGACAGCACTGACAGCTCGATAGGTACAGACACCACGACGGTTCTCGATAGAGCAATTCAGAACAGAAGGACAGACTTATGCAAATTTTATGCAAAGGGCATATGCAGACATAGATATGCTGGTAATAAGAAAGGATTAGAATGCAGTTACCAACATCCCAAAAAATGTTTAAATATGCTTAGGAAAGGTGAGTGTCGATTTGGATCAATATGTAGGTTTTTCCATCCTGACATGTGCCAAACCTCACTGGAGGACAGAAAATGCTATGACCTTAGCTGCCCACACTTTCACGTGAAAGGCACGGAACGCTACATAAAGAGTGGCAAGCAGGATAATGAATTTGGAGGAAACTCTATAAATTTTTTATACCAGACCGGCAGAGAATTCAAAAGGAGCAGCATGGAGAGTGTATGGAACTGGATGCCAGACCCACTTGCATTCCAGAATTACAGATACAATTACCCACCGAAAGGGAACTACAACTACGACAGAAAACTGCCCTACAACAATCAGTACTGGTCAGAACAAACTCATTATGTCCACGATTAATGGACGTGCCGAAAAAGTCTCCCATTCAAACTATCACTAATAGAGTAACCTCATTCATCTTTGCCAACATACAAGGACTGAAAACAAGAACAAACAACAAAGTACAGTTCATAAATGGCCTCCTCACGGAGTCAAATGCAGTATTTGGAGCTTTCACAGAAACCCATGCAGGGGAATTGTTGGACAGTGAGATCTGGATTCCAGGATATAACCTATACAGGTGTGATAGGAAAATTAGGTCACATGGAGGAGTGGGTCTGTATATTAGGGAAGACCTTGTATGCTCGGAGCTCCTAAACGTTACAAATGAGGTGGTAGAGGTACTGGGATTAAAAATAGAGAAAATAAATTTAGTGATTATACTAATATACAAACCGCCAGATGCAACGGCTGAGGAATTCACAGAACAGATAAGCAAAATAGAGAATAGCCTTGATAATTTGGAGAACCCGATACCTGATATTATTTTCCTAGGTGACTTCAACTTGCCTAGTCTCAGGTGGAAAATAGCAAACAATAATATTATACCAGGAAATCTATCAGGACCTAACCAACCACAGATTAGAGAACTACTTAGATTCTGTGACAAATTTTCACTCAATCAGCAGATATCGGAGCCAACGAGAAATGAAAATATTCTAGATCTGGTCTTTACGAACAATGAAGACATTATCAGAGACATTACGATATCAGATACCACATACTCAGATCACAAACTCATTGAAGTGCAAACGACCATCAATACTCAGAATAGACCTAAAACGTTGATAAAGCGAGAGGGGCTATTCAGTAAATTCAATTTTAATAATAAAAGGATAGACTGGGAGATAATAAACAGGGAACTTACAAACATTCCATGGGAAACTGTTCTAAATAATACAAGTCCTACAGAAGGAATAGAAAAACTGACTTCAGAAGCGTATCAAGTCTGTCTGAAACATGTTCCTTTGAGGAAAGCCAGAAAGAGATCTAACGTAGAAAGAGAACGCAGACGACACTATAAACGCAGGAAAAAAATAACGGAACTGCTTATGCAGACACGAATTTCCCGTCAAAGAAGGAATAATTTAAATAGGGAGATTGAAGAAATCGAGCGGAAATTGAAACACTCATATGAAACTGAAGAAAGGCAGTTAGAACAGAAAGCAATTCAGGAAATAAAGAAAAATCCAAAATATTTCTTCTCATATGCGAAATCAAAAGCAAAAACCACTGCCAGTATTGGACCTATTCGTACAAGTGAAGGTTCATACACGGAGGATGACAAAGAAATTAGTGAAATCCTAAAAAAGCAGTATGAGGACATGTTTAGCACTCCAATAAACAACATGAAGGTGGAAGATCCAGACAATTTCTTTATGCGGGATATTCAAACCCCTGTAAATATAACTGATATAAACACGAGCGCACTAAATTTTGAAAAAGAAATTGAAAACATGCCCATGCACTCGGCCCCAGGTCCAGACTCATGGAATTCAATATTTATAAAGAAATGCAAAGTGCCGGTAGCACAGGCACTCAGTATAGTGTGGAGGAAGAGCTTGGACACGGGGGAGATACCAGATGCACTTAAAGTAGCAGACATAGCCCCTCTACATAAGGGAGGGAGCAAAGCATTGGCAAAAAATTATAGACCAGTTGCACTAACATCGCACATCATAAAAGTATTTGAGAGAGTGATTAGGAGTCAGGTCACCAATTTCATGGAGACCAATGACCTTCATAACCCAGGCCAACATGGATTTCGAGCGGGAAGATCGTGCCTCTCACAGCTACTTGAGCACTACGACAAAGTCACTGAGGCATTAGAAGAGAAACAGAATGCTGATGTGATATACACGGACTTCGCAAAGGCTTTCGATAAATGTGTCCATGGCGTGATAGCACACAAAATGAAGTCAATGGGAATAACCTGTAAAGTAGGACGCTGGATACTCAGTTTTCTGTCAAACAGGACTCAGCGAGTAACTGTCAACCATATAAAATCTAGTCCAAGTGCAGTTAAAAGCTCTGTACCTCAGGGTACAGTCCTTGCACCACTGCTTTTCCTTATTCTCATATCAGATATAGACAAAAATACAAGTCACAGCTTCGTATCATCCTTTGCAGATGAAACAAAAATCAGTATGAAAATTACCTCGGCTGAGGACATTGAAAAACTTCAAGCTGATATTAATAAAGTTTTCGACTGGGCATCAGAAAATAACATGATGTTTAACAGTGATAAATTCCAGGTACTCAGGTACGGTAAAAATGAGGACCTTAAACATAATACAGAGTACAAAACACAATCAAATGTACCCATAGTAGGAAAACAGCATGTAAAGGATTTGGGAATAATAATGTCTGACGACCTAACGTTTAAGGAGCATAACCAAGCAAATATTGCGACAGCCAGAAAAATGATAGGATGGATTACGAGAACTTTCAAATCCAGGGATCCCATCACAATGGTTGTACTCTTCAAGGCACTTGTGTTGTCCCGTCTTGAGTACTGCTCAGTACTCACTTCCCCCTTCAAAGCAGGAGAGATTGCTGAAATAGAGGGAATACAGAGAACATATACGGCACGCATAGACGCAATAAAGCACCTAAATTATTGGGATCGTCTCAAAGCCCTCCAAATGTACTCACTAGAAAGAAGACGAGAGATATCAAATAATATACACCTGGAAGATACTGGAGGGCCAAGTACCAAATCTACACAGTAAAATAACAACGTACTGGAGTGAACGACATGGAAGAAAATGTAGAATAGAACCAATGAAGAGCAGAGGTGCCATAGGCACAATCAGAGAACACTGTATAAACATCAGAGGTCCGCGGTTGTTCAACGTCCTCCCAGCAAGCATAAGAAATATTGCCGGAACAACCGTGGACATTTTCAAGAGGAAACTAGATTTATTCCTCCAAGGAGTGCCGGACCAACCGGGCTGTGGTGGGTATGTGGGCCTGCGGGCCGCTCCAAGCAACAGCCTGGTGGACCAAACTCTCACAAGTCGAGCCTGGCCTCGGGCCGGGCTTGGGGAGTAGAAGAACTCCCAGAACCCCATCAACCAGGTATCAACCAGGTATCAACCAGGAGAACCCCCAGAACCCTCTCCAGGTATACACCAGAAACACACTGCCAGCTACCAGCCCTCTTATCTCGCCCTAATCCCTGGCCCCAAGGCAGCGCTCACCCCTGACACAACCAGCAGCCTCCGACCTTACCCGAGGCCCTCCACACACACACACACACACACACACACACACACACACACACACACACACACACACACACGCCAAGTATTGCCTCACCGGCCATGGATGTGACCTTTGCTTCCCTGATCTTCCAAATTCACACTAAACACTTCTATTCAAATGATGCAAATTCTACCTTTCTAAGGTTAACAAAGCTTCAAGCCCTCTGGCTCTTTTCAATCCTGACATAAAATTTATAGTCATGAATTTATCAACAACCTTAACATACATTACCTTGAGATGGTTATTAGGATCTACGCTCCTTATCTGAATGTGATCCCCTAGAATGTGATCTTCGATCACATTATTTGGAGACAAAGCCTAGATACTGGCGTTATCCTTAACATAATCAAAACAGCAGAGATAGCATCGCTCCATAAAGGAGGAAATAAGGCAAAGGCAAAAAATTACAGACCGATAGCACTAACATCACACACCATAAAAATCTTTGAGAGCTAAGAAGTAAGATCACAAAATACATGGAATCACATCATCTCCATGACCCTGGACAACATGGTTTCAGAACAGGGCGCTCTTGCCTGTCACAGTTGCTGGACCACTATGACATGGCCTTAGATGCCATGGAAGACAAACAAAACGCTGATGTAATTTACACAGATTTCGCAGAAGCCTTCGACAAATGTGACCATGGTGTTATTGCACGTAAAATGCATTCAAAAGTAATTACCGGAAAAATAGGCAGATGGAGCTACAATTTCCTGACTAACAGAACCCAATGTGTAATAGTCAACAAAATAAAATCCAGCCCATCAACCGTGAAGAGCTCAGTCCCCCAGGGTACTGTGCTTGCTCCAGTACTTTTTCTCATCCTCATATCGGACATAGACCAGAACACAACCTATAGCACTGTATCATCCTTTGCAGATGACACTAGGATTTTCATGAGAGTTGGCAACATAGAGGACACGG